GCCCTTGTGGTCTCTTCCAACTCTATGATTCTATGATTCTGTGAAATGGAAGGAATCAGTGTATTTTGGGTATGTCTCTTCTCCAATGTTTGACACAATGCTTAACGTTATTGTGTTTGTGTCATGGTAACAAGTAGTAGTAGGAGCATTAATGTATACGTGTAAGTAATGTTAATCTAAATATTTTGTGAAAGCATTCTAAAATTAGCTAGGAGAGAGGCCTAATTCTCAAATAGACTTGATTAGGTTGAGCAAAAGTTCAGCATCAATCTCTTGGGATGGCTTGTTTGGGGAACAAGTGGAAAGGCACGTACGCAAGATTATTTTTAACAACCATAAAACTTTTAACACCATGATAAACTCTCAGTTGAGGGCTGAGAGCTTCCCCATACTTTTATGCCCTTTTGTTTGAGGTAAGGATGCTATTACTCTAAGGAGATTATCACATGTGTTAAAAAAACCCGCTTACGTCTCCCAAACTGAAGGCTAATTCGTGCTGCAGGGGTGATGTGGGAGGAAGAAAGAGAAACTGGGACATTTTAAAAGCAGCTGAAAAGGGGGGACAGCAGAAGATCAATCAGAATAGTCCTAGTCAGATCAGGACAGTTGGAAGGTATGCTTCTGTCTTAGCTGGCTTAGGTAAAGTTTAAAAGGTGAAGAGAGGTGACCCTGAGAAGGAGGAAAGTTTAGGCTTCATGGGTGTGGAAGCATGCTTGCATCCAGACTGCTGTGTGGGTGGGCTGGGCTCATTAGGGGAAGGGGGGCATTTACCTTCTCTATCTCTAACCCAACTTCTTGCATCATGGGTGGGGTCTTAGGTTGCAGACTGCCAGAAATAGTGCAAATTGAGTCCACTTTTAGGGTTAGGGTTAGTGCTAGGGAATCATGGCTATTGTTGTTTTTTTCTGAGACATTGAGCCTTCTCTGTCAGAGAGCTCTGGTGCCAAAATAAAATACAGTTGACATGATTCCCTAACCCTAACCCTAAAAGTGGACTCAATTTGCACTATTTCTGGCAGTCTGCAACCCCCATTACTTAGTGCCTAGTAGGCACCTACAGGTGTCTAAAGAAAAACAATTGACTTAGTGAGGGTTGGTTCATCTCTCCTTTTAAAATGAAGACTAAACTACTGCAGATTCTAGTCCCATGCCAAACCTCCACAGAGGCTTTCCCAAGATCTGGTAGTGGCATCTTCCCAGACTTAGTAACCGAATCAATGAACTCTCCAGGTACCTGAATGCACAAAAGCTCTTTGTTGGCCTTGCTATGGACGTTATCACACGCGGGCCACAAAGCAAAAAGAAAGTGAAAAAGAATCAATCCGGAAATAAACCGAAATAAACCCTACATTACGGAAATGGCTATCAGACGCAAGTAGCATCATTTTGCAATTAAGGAAAGCTCTCCTGGAAACCGTATTTGCCGTTCACACACAAGTGAGAAAATCCCGTACATGTACTAGAAATGCTCTTCTAGCACATGTGCAATACAGCCGCGGCTGTCACTTGCTGCGGTTGTCACCCCTTCCCAAGTCGTCCTTGGTGCAGCTGGCCCTCCGCACGGCCGGCGCTCCGAGGAGGACCTCCCACCGCAGCATTCTCCGAGGAGGTCCTCCTTGGAGCGCTGGCCCCACGTAGGGTCGGCACTCTGAGGAGGTCCCCCTTGGAGAACCGGCGCTCCGAGGAGGTCCTCCTTGGAACGCAGGCCCCGCCCTGCGTAGGGTAATGATGAGGAAATGCGCCACAATACGTATTTGGTGATCAGACTTACGGTAAATGCGAAATGATTCCCGTCGCGCAATTGCAATTCCTCAAGAAACCGAAATTCAAAAGATCTCGGTTCTTTCCACTTTCTGTCGGGGTTCTGTCGGGGTTCTGTGCGACGTCGTGTGGAAACACGGGAAAATAATACGTATTAGGTCAGGATTTCGTTTGGATTCTGTTTGGATTGGGCCCCGTGTGATAACGTCCTATGACAGACTAACGAGTCTTCCTCTCTGGAGGCTACTGTTAGCTGCCAAAGATCTACTGTGGGGCTTTTGGTGACAGTTGACAACCCCAAAAGAAAGGCCAGGCTTGGAGCCAAGAGGAACAAGGCAGTGTGATTAGGGCAGGCAGGGCAGCCGTGTGGCTGCGGCAGTGCAATCTGTGGTATGCTGCTCAGACTGGAGAGGAAAGGAAGTTTACATACAGAGATAGGGTTGCCAGGGTGCAAGTCTTGCGGCTTCTCTGCCCATTGATTCTCCGGTTTTATTTCCTGCTGTGTGGCACATTTGCTTCATTGCAGTTGCTAACAGGAGGAAGTTCAGATGACAAGACCAAGTTGAGGGGCAGGCACTCAAAGTGTTAGCTTCCTTGTTTCCCTCATGTATACTGGGGAGCTGGAAGTACAGGGTAAATCTCTTATTCTAACATCTAGTAACCCTGTCTTCATGGGTAAGTGGCATTTTACTGAAGTTTGACATGACTTGTTTTCCGGATCACACTTTCCTCTTAAGTTCTGCCTGGGTCTGGTTCCCTGGGTTTTGCCTGACTCCAACTTCCATCATTTGTAGTCTGATGACCT